TAATTTGTCACAAACAGGCGTATTATTTAAATTCACTAATCGTAAAGAATGGTGGACCCTCAGTATATAATAAACCCATCCGAGTTACAGCTATAGTCTTAGGACGTCTAAAATGGCAGACAGTGCACCATGTTTTGGCAAGTGGCTGACTTAGATTGTTTACTGAAAGATGAACAAAATATTACACTAAATATACCGTTATAATTTTAAGCTGTTTAGATATTATCATTGCGTCAGGATTTCTTTAGCTTAAAATAAATTCCAAGCCTATACTAGAAAAGACACATTTCACAAAATAGGAATAGACAGTGGTAGCGAAAATATGTACCTTAAAATGTGTCAGCTCTGGATTTCACACTCGTGCTAAGTGTCATGATGAGAAAAGTCATAAGCATTCTGTAATCTTACTGGTTGCTGGCATGTTCTAAAGGAAATTTTCGTTTTTAATCAATAAAGTTACATGTTCACTACAAGCGGATCCTAAAACGACCCATTTTGGATGACGATTCCTTGAAAACTGAAGTATGTCAAGCGCAGGAAAGGTCCTAGTGACAAGCTAAAGAGGATTACATCTAATGGACATCCTTGTCGCACCGAGGATTTAATGTCAAATCAAAAATTTATCGATTTCTTTAGTATATTTTAGGATGCGGTTTGAATTAAATAATTTCCAATTTAACACTTTATAATTCAGTTGCGTTACGGTGATATATTAAAATGTTCCAAAATGAAATTTAAAAAAGTATATCATTCTGTTTGAACTTACCTAGTAATCACTATCTTAGAGAAGTTTAGTTATCTAAAAAATAAAACATTTGTTTAATTTTTGAAACTATTTTTGAATTCCGAATGTGAATAGAAATTTATTAAAAAATTTATAAATTCTATCCCGGGAATATTTCTCCCCTCGTCCGCATTCTACGCACACTACCTTACCAACTCGGCTATCAGGACACTATATATTCGGAGTTCGAATTGTTAATTTGAATATTAGATCTTAATGAAACTCGAATCAATTTCGTCTAAGGACACATTTTGACTAATGCAGGTCCTCCCCTATGTCGTATATTGTGTTAAATTTCCGTAAATATGTTACGGTTATTGATCCGAAAACAAAGTATATAAATTCTTTAAAAATTCCCAAATAAATTTTTTTTAATTTCCACTGCTCAATAATAAAAACTATTTTTGAATCACTTTTGGTAAATCAATGGTTGCTATTAATATTTTTCATATCTAGCCATTGTTAAATATCTTTATAGAAATGTTCAAAATGATGGAGTAGGCTCTAATTCCAAGCATCCCTATATTTGTTCCATAAAGAACTCCCAAAGAAAGTACCACATATTTTTGAATATAAAATAAACAAAATATTTTAGCACAATTCCTAGGATGAAAATTAATCACGGGTGCTTTCCGTCTCATTTGAATAAAATAGATATATTAGAAACCCTATTCTGTGAGGCGGGTGGGCAAAACTGCAGATCTAAACCATATAATTTTTCAATGCAACAAATATAATAATAACAAATTATTATTTTATTTAAATATTACTACGCTACTCGCAACTTTCAATTAAAAATTTTATCAATGAAAATAATATTATGATCTAATTAATTATCTATATCATACCTACCTACATTATAATCTACTATTAAAAAAATGTTTAAAGTGACTGGCAAATGGCTTAAGGTCGATGCCAAAAGGCGAAAGAAAAAGTAGCTATATGTTATGAAGCGTTGCCCAATACATCAGTTAAAAATAAATCTTCCAAAGATTTCAAAACTTTTCTTTGAATCAATTTTCGTAGCAAATCGGAAAACTAATTGGGAAGGTTTTCAAGAGGACTTAACAAATACTATTCAACTGACCATAACACTAAAAACGAAAAATCAGCTAGATAAAGAACTGGAAAGGTTTATAGTTGAAACCCAGCAAGCTGCATGGAGGAATACACCAAAAGAAAGAAGATTAACAGCTGGAAAAACTATCCTGTCGAAAAATAAAGAAAACTAAGGAAGAAATGCAGATTACAAGATCACCAGAAGATAAAAATATATTAAAAAGGGCTACCCAAAGACTGAGAAGAGAAATATTAAATCACAAAGAAGAATCCTTCAACAGATACTTAGTAGGGCTAACAGATAATAAAGAAACTGATTATTCGCTCTGGAAGGCAACTAAAAAGATGAAACATTCCTATAAACATTGTCCCCCTATCAGAATAGCAGATAACAAATGGGAAAGAGACAATCAACATAAAGCTGATATTTTCGCTGACCACCTACAAAAGACGTTCCAATTAGGTGAAAATCAAGACACTCCTAATGAGACGATCCATAATATGGAACAACTTGAAGTAACTCCCAATGAAGTAACGAAAAAAATTCAGACAAACTACAACTCACAGAAAGCCCCAGGATATGACCTTATTACCGGAGAAATATTAAAGAAACTATCACGGAAGGCTACTGTTAAATTGACATACCTTATAAATGCAGCATTTTGCCTTATACCTGTAGCATGGAAAATGGCTAATGCTCTCCTAATTCCTAAGCCAGGAGAACCTCCAAATGAAGTGTCATCATATAGACCTATATCATTGTTACCGATAATATCCAAGTTATTTGAAAAGCCACTACTAAAAATGACTAAAACCAATAATTGAAAATAAAAATCTGTTCTCTTCGCACCAATTTTGTTTTAGAAACAAACACTCGACAATAGATCAAGTACGCAGGATAGCCGATATCATCGAAAAAGCTTACGAAGAAAACTATAATAATAATATTAATAATAATAAATGCTTTTATTAGCCAAACTAAGTACCTAATACAAAGAAAGAATAAAAAAATATATAAATACAAATAGTTTACCAAATGACAGAGTTCAAAATCTCTCCACTCTCTCCACTCAACCAGTATCATACACATACCTATACATCTTCCGATGTATAGATGTGCCCTACATAATAATTATTCAATTTAGCGCACAATTTGGCTTTACGAATATAAGAGGAAAAAAAATATTGAAAACCCAAAACCGTAAACAACTTAACATCTTAACTTAAAAAATAAAATCAGCCTGTTGAGTGTGAGCCAGTTTATCAATAATAACATTACAATAATACTAATATAAAAAAAAAAAGATGAAATTAAAATTTATCTAAAAACTATAACTATCGACCTACAGAGTTTATTAGTAATTTTCTATCTAGCATTACATTTTTTAATTTATACTTGAATAAGATATGATCTGTGAATAATTTCAAGTCATCAGGTAACAAGTAGTACAGCTTAACAATGTTATAAGAAAAGCAGCCTTCTATATATGCTCAGATATATTTCTTGATGTAGCCCAAGCACTTGACAAGGTTTGGCACGCTGGCCTGACACAGAAACTTGAAAAAATGCTCCCTAGACAATATGTCGACATTCTACAATCATATATATCGAGAAGAATGTTTAGAGTAAAGCAAGACAAGGCATACTTCGAAATGAAATAAATTAAAGTAGGTGTCCCACAAGGCAGTGTGCTAGGACTGGTTCTTTACTTATTATACACCAGCTATATCCCTCAACAACAATATGTTAAAATAGCAACATTTGCGACTGATACTGCAATATTGGCAGTTGGCGGAACTAATACAGAGACCTCAGAAAACCTGCAACAGAGTCAATTGAAGGACAAAAAAATGGAAAATAAAAATAAATCAAACTAAATCAGTGCATGTTGATTTTACTCTTCGACTAAATGAACAAAAATAAATAAGAATAAACAATGACGTTATTCCGCATCACGATTTGGCCAAATATATAGGGATGAACCTAGATGTAAGACTTTAATGATAAGAGCACATAAAAAAATGCGTAGAGAACTTGAACTTAAATTCAAAAAAATGTATTGGCTCCTAAGAAGAAAATCCAAATTGTTAGTGTACAACAAACTGCTGATTTATAAACAAATCCTAAAACCAATCTAGATTCATGGCATATAGCTATGGGGATGTGCCAGCCAGAGTAATACCAACATGATACAAGTTTTCCAAAACAAAGTCCTAAGATGCATTGTTGATGCACCTTGGTTCTATCGAAACGATTATCTTCATAGAGACCTGAAGATGCCAACAATCGAAAAAGAAATAAAGAGGTTTGCTACGAAACATGAGGGTCGATTCCACTCTCACGTCAACGAAGAAGCGCTGCATTTACTGGACAACTCTACACTCAACAGAAGGCTCGAAAGGAAGAAGCCATTTGAGCTAGTGCAATGAACGTTGATGTTAATGAGTCTTTACACAATATGATTATACTTAAAACTTAAATGTTGTTGTTGTTGTTATTGTGCTTTTGACAAGCTGGTTTTTCCAAATTGACAAACAACTTATTTAATATAGCGGCCCGAGTGAGAACCATTTTTTCTTAGTTTATCTTATAGATAACGCTCCTGATTTTATTTTGCAGTAAATTTATACCTTTGAATGGACCCGTTTTTGTTTTGTTTGATTTGGAAATATCACCTATTTACTTATTTAATTCACAATATGTAAAATTACTAAATAAAAAAAATAACATCAATTTTTTAGAATATTTCTAAAAGTGAGTGTTTTAAAGTGTCGCTATCAGTAGTAAAATATTTTATGGCTGTAAAACTGGTAAAGTTGGGACGGCTGAACTATAGTTCATATTTGAATTTTTTATACAACACATGTCAATCCTGAGATACAATATGAATATCAAATATATTCTGCGCGTGATAACCCCTGATATTTGCAAATGTATGGAGGTGTGTTTGTGGATAAAATTCGATACTTTCATTAAGCCGCGATTTTAAAATAAATTGCAAACTGACAAAGACGAAGCAAAACATCATTCGCGTTAAAAAATCTTTCAGATCATGTCACGCTTGGTTTATATATAGCTCCAATCAACGTCAAAATACAAGCCGCTGGGTGTCAAAAAAAACCATGTGTAAATAATTTACCCCTTTTTACTTTTCAGTGCTGCGATCTTTCGATGGGGAATCGCTGACGCTAATGAACGTGCAGCGAACCGATATGGGTGCCTATCTATGCATAGCCAGTAACGGAGTACCCCCATCAGTTAGTAAACGATTCAACATTATTGTTCATTGTAAGTAACTTTTTGGATCATGAACACGCTGTCAATAAATCACTTTAGCCTATTACGAGGGTCATGCTGAAAGTTTATTGAAACAATTTTATTATATTGTATCATAAAGTCAATATACTTTTGCATTTTATTAAAAATAATAATAATAATGATGATAATAATCACCTTACTAGTGAATGTTAACCCCTGAAACCGACTGAGTTTGTGTGGGGAAGGGATAACTATTAATATTATTTGCCTTGGCGCTCTGGGGCGACTTAACCCTTAAGTTGGCAATGTATCCTATAGGATACATCAAAAGTATTCTAATATAAATACAATTGTTCAATACCTATATGTATTCTGGGTAGTATACATACATTTAGAACCATAATGGTCCATGAATTTGTCAATACGCTTGCTGTCAGATGATTTTAATTTAAGTTACAAAGTGCCGACTTTCATAGTGATTCAGTATTAATGATCATCTTGAGATATAACAGACTTGCAATAAGTATTTGTTATTTTATTCAAATAATTAAGGTATCTATTAGAATTTAAAATATAAGATGTGTTTCCAAGTAATAATAAGTCGTATTTATACTTATAGACATTATTTTTGTAAAATAACTTCAGCCCGAAAGGACAGAAGGTAAATGTATCGTATAGGATACATTGCCAAGTTCCTAAGCATACCTTATTTTGTTTTATTTCTATAAATGTGAAGTGAATTATTTTACACAAAGACAATAAATTGTCACAAAAAATAAAAACAACAATAATAATAATATTAAATTACTTTATAGAATTGTCGTTTCCGGACAGCATACAGTGTCGGCCACCGAATGTTTTCCAATAGGCTTTGCACAAGTCCATGTGAAAATTACATATCATTAGCTCGAGCCGGAAACGAATAATATCAGCGTTGCCAGTTTATACGTGGCAACAAAACAATTTGCTCAACAAAATATCCGTTTCAACAATGTGGGGCATTTTGCAATATATAGCCAAAAAGGAAGATTCCGTTTATGTCAAAATGGTCAAACTGCAATTTTTTTCCAAAAATGCAACGTCAGACTTTGTTTAGTGAATTCAAAGAATTGCTTCCTAACATTCTATAATAAATGAATCTTCAATAAAAATAAAAAATAAATATTTAAGTAAAATACAAATTTGTTATTGTAAACGCCAAATCTGAAGAACCAGCGCAAATGCTCAAGTTCGTTTACATAAAAATCGCCACGCCCATTCACAATTTGAACCTTGCCCTTGCTTACGGTCAGTAGCGTAACGACTAGATCATTGTTTGTTTCTTCTTTCGGTGTTTTGGTTAAAGTGACTGGTTTTATTTTTGATAATGTCTTCTATTGTGGGTGAAAAAAAGCGCAGATCTGTTATTAACAAACAAAGTCGTGAAGTAATATACAATGTTTTTAAATATTTTGACGCAACAAAAAAGGAAGGAGTTACTTTAGTGTTTCTAAATGTTAATGCCCTTATTCTCAAAATGTGAAAAAAAATTTGCATAAACGATTGATTTTCAGATAAAAATATGTTTTGTAGAATTATTTTTGTTTTTATTGTAATGTTTTAAATAGCTTTTTTTTAAGTACGGCCCGTTTGACCAATATACAATTTTACCACAACTTATTTGAATAAGGATAATTTCCTGACCGTATATAAATACCGAACGGAAAGCGGTACAACAGCCTTAACCTAAAGTCGGCTTACTTAAAAATAATGATTTTTTAATTGACTATAGAATTATGTACTAATAATAACACTAAGCAATATGTATGAACAAGTATCATTTCCAATTATTTTATGTCTTAAAATATACGCGCCCCTGGTTTACAACTTTCTAGGTAAGCTACCAATTCTATTCATCGGTAGGCGTGTTCGTAGCATTATAAATGCGCGTCCTTGGTTCTTTAGATTTGGCGTTTACTGTATATACTTGGAAACGTATCCTATAAGATACACGTTAGTATTTTTTTTATAACCGTTATTTAGTAGTTTTTCAATAAAAAATATTTTTTGTTATGATTATTTCTGTCAATGCCAACTTAAGGGTTAAAGATGATTGATAGTGTCATTTGAATTCAAAGCCACTGAAATATCCGTAAATATATATGTACCGCTTAAACAACCTGCGCTACCGAACCACTTATCATTAATAACCCTCTGAAGTGGCTGTCTTTTGGTCTTCTAGCGACTTCAACTTTTAGATAATAAAGAAGTAACCATTTTCTCATTTTTGTGAAGATAAGTTCCATTTGGAAGCAACAATCTGTATATTGCTGCGTCATTTCTGGATCTTAATTGTAGATCCAGGATTCGTCACCAGTAACAATACAATACTAAAAAGTTTCGTAACTTTGTTAAATTTCCCAAACCACAACACCGATCACAGTTTGGACATTTCTTAGAGCATTGGACCCATCTAAATGGTGGAAAGTATGAATTAAAAGAATGGGAAGGAGTAGTCCATCTAAATGGTGATACAATAAGCACATTGGGCTGCAGTGCCACCATGATTGAACTCCAAATGAGAGAAGGTTGGAGCCCAAGCCTCCTTGGAGGGAGTCTGGACTCCTGAAAGGGGAAAGCGGAGGAGTATCTGAAAGAGTTAGAACAATGACAGTACACCATGTGTCTTTCTGTGTCTCTAGCAGTAATGATGAAAGAGTCGTTCCCCGAAGCGATGGATAATCCAGAGTGAAAATGTAAACAAACGATCCGTTCATTTCAGTTCCATAAGCTCTTTAAAAGAAGAGAGAAAATATAATGTGCATATTAGTGTCATTGTTCCTATATATGTTCGTTTTAAGAGTCAAATTGATTTAGGAATAAATCAAAAATTAAAAGACCTTTTTTTAACATATAGTTTACAAATATCTAAAAAATTTCAGAATGGCCCTCGTATGAACACACTGTCAATAAATCACTTTAGCTGACTAACGTTACCTGTGAGGAAAGAAAAATTTTCCGCGATAATTAATAACCGAAAACCGACGCCCTACACCACCGAAAATACATCATATTTACCCCTTTTTGAGCGATGCTCGAACTTTATTACCCTTGTTGTATTTTTATGGGGATTTCTGATTAGTTCAAGGTTAGTGTGAAAAAATGAATTATGATGTGTTACTCATATCTCAAGTCTGTTTGTTTTCTTTTTATTTAATACGTTTATATAGGGTTTTAGAGTAAAATATATAACCGTGGGTGTGGGACATTTAGACAATTCGAGATCAATATTAATAGGTCCAGCATATCTCATTACCTAGACACAGGGTGTTTTATGGATTTTGTATAAATTTATATTTTTCCAAAAATAATTCCATAAAAACCATTAATTGAAATCCAGGTCCGGTTTAACAAAATTTTTACCATTTTTCCTTCTCGAAAACGACATTAATAACAAAATTTTGCATATCTAGTAAGAAATTTCAAAAGATCGAAAAAAGTGATTAAGATTATGGTCTTTTAAAATTTTCACATTTCGTTTTAGAGATCCTTTTTGTTTATTTGTTATTTAACAATTTTTCAAATTTATAATTTAAAAATAATTTCTTTATGGCAAAATATGGAAAATAATTCCTTTTTGTAGGTATTTTTCAATTGTTCCAATCTCAGTACAAAACATACAAAATGTGAAAAAAAGTAGTTTTAGCTAAATCATTATTTTAAATACGTCTAATGAAAAATAAAGTAATAAAATATGAAAAAGATTAGTTAGAATTAACAAAAAGTAAAAGGTTCAATTACAAATATAAAGTTAACTCAAGAGTAGCTGTTAAAGATGGATCCAAACCTATAGTTCTTAAACGGTTCAACATACAAAACCCAAAATTTCAGAATTTCAACTAAATAGATTTGTACATATTTTAGCCCAAAAATTATTTTTTTTATAATTACAAAATTTTAAGCATGGCCGCCATCTTGATTTTTTTAAATAGCAACATAGGTCATGTTATATACCATTTGAAAAGGTTTAACACATAGCAACATAGGTCATGTTATATACCATTTGAAAGGGTTTGACACCCTGATTACAAAAATGCATCACACATGGGGTCTAAACACAACAAAAAGGATATTATTAATAGGGAGCGTAGGAGGCTGTGCATTTGACACAAGACGTCAAATACATACATTTTTGTAATCAGGGTGTTAAACCCTTTCAAATGGTATATCACATGACCTATGTTGCTGTTTAAAAAAAATCAAGATGGCGGCCATGCTTAAAATTTTGTAATTATAAAAAAATAATTTTTGGGCTAAAATATGCGCAAATATATTTAGTTGAAATTCTGAAATTTTGGGTTTTGTATATTGAACCGTTTAAGCACTATAGGTTTGGTTCCATCTTTAACAGCTACCCTGTATATTTACTATTAAATTCGAAATTTGACAAATTGTTAAAATAAGTTTTAACAAAAAATTAAGAGCTCTAAAATGAAATACGTAATTTTTAAAATATCCTAATCTAAAGCTAATTTTTCCGCTCTTTTGAAATATCTTATCAGATTTGTTTTTGAGACCGAAAGAAATTTTGTTAAGCCAGACACGGATTTTTTAATTATCGTTTCTATAGCATTAAATATTTGTTAAATAGCGGAAAATCTAACAAGTGGTTGTTGAATTTTGGCCAAAGAAAACTTCAGGCGAAATTCATAAATCTAGTTAATTAGATGTAATCGACCCATTATTAATAAAGAGTGATTCAAATGTGCCCCACTCTAATAATTATCTCTCAATATTCACTATCAAGCAGTTTATCATTCTCTACTAATTGATTGAGAATGATGAGATATACAAATAATGTATTTCTTAATTAGTTATTAGGGACTACAAGAGAAGAGTCTTTCAATAGAAGAACTATTTATTTAATCTTATGTATCTTATTTCATTTTGTTTAGTTTAAAATAGAAATCAATTGGTACAATGTTAATCGAAATAAACGTCTACAATTTACATATTTACAATACACTATTAATTGCTATTTAACAGATCCA